CACCCATCAAATCGTTAAGGAGGCCAAATTCTAGAGACTTATTTTCGACTCACATTTAACTTTTTTGCCACATATTAAATCCCTTAAAGCTAAATGCCAGAAGGCTCTTGATCTGTTAAAGTTGTTTCTAATTCAAAGTGGGGAGGGTCCAAGCTACCCTCCTTCACTTATATAGATCACTGGTGCGATCTAAACTTGATTATGGCTCCATCGTATATGGTGGAGCCTGCAAAAGCAACCTTAAACTACTTGATTCTGTTCACCACCATGGCCAAGGTCTCAGACTTTCTGTTGGATCATTTAGAACTTCTCCAGTTGATAGTCTCTATATCGAGGCAGATGAGCCTTCTCTTTCCCAACGCCGTATAAAATTATCCTTACAATATATTACCAAACTATGTTCTAACGAATCTAACCCTGCATTTAAGTGTGTCTTCAATCCTCTTTATGAGGATTTGTATAACAAAAAGTCTTCTCTTGTTCCGCCTCTTGGACACAGAATTAAACCATGCATTGCTGCTGCCGGCATTGAGCTGGAGAATATATCTTCTTCTCGTCTTCTTTCTTCTCCTCCTTGGCAATTGGTTAGGCCACAAGTAGATCTAACACTCACTAAATTTTAAAAATCCGAAACTAATGACTTACTATATAAACAAGAATATATTCATTTAAAAAGTAAATATAATACATATAAATCTTTTTTTACAGATGAGTCCAAGGATGGTGGCGCGGTTGCTTGTGCCACTGTCATTGGGTCCAAAACAATATCTTCCAGATTACCCAATGACAGTTCAATTTTCACAGCAGAAGCAAAGACAATACTAACAGCTCTTAAATATATAAATAGACACTCTAAATATAAAACAATATATCATATTTTCTGACTCTCTTTCTTGCCTTCAGGTGATTCAAAATATTTCATGTAAACATCCACTTTTAATAGAGATTATTGAATTATATAATGAGCTTGCTACTGGCCAATGCGACATCGTCTTTTGTTGGTTACCCAGCCACGTTGGCATTTCGGGTAACACAATGGCCGATATTGCTGCTAAGGCAGCACTCAACAAATCTGTGACACCACTTCTGATCCCATACTCTGATTACAAAGCTAGCATTAGAACTTACATCCGTGATCTGATGCAAAAGAAGTGGGATGCCCAAGTAGGTATCAATAAATTACATGCAATAAAACCAACTATCGGTTACACCTACTTGGGTCGTCAGTCCAGATTTGAAGAGGTCATCATACGACGATGTCGTATTGGCCACACAAGATATATTCATGAGTACCTATTTAAAGGTGAGGATCCTCCGTTTTGTATCCCTTGTGATGAAAGAATCACAGTCAAGCATGTCTTACTTGACTGTGTTGAATATTCCATCACAAGGGATATCTATTTCAAATCACGAACCATGAAGGATCTGTGTAGTAATATAAGTTCTCATTTAATTATCGCCTTTTTCAAGGAATTAGACTTGTTAACTGATTTGTAAATAGATACATATTTTATTATTGGTAGTTTAGATTAGTAACTGAGATTGTTACTGGCTGTACCCTCAAAGGAGGTTGAAGTAGCGTAAAATTATTGTCCTCCCGAGAGGGTACGTAAGTCCCTAAACATTCAAAGGAAATTACCAGCTGTTTTAAATGTAGTATTCTTGTCATTTTAAGACTGAAGAGATCTGAAGCTACCTTCTGCCATGGTCACTCAGGCAACTCGGTGATCTGATGCAAAAGAAGTGGGATGCCCAAGTAGGTATCAATAAATTACATGCAATAAATCCAACTATCGGTTACACCTACTTGGGTTGTCAGTCCAGATTTGAAGAGGTCATCATACGACGATGTCGTATTGGCCACACAAGATATCATACGGGATAGATATTTTAATGTCAAAACAGTAAAGGACCTTTTTAGTGACGTTAATTATCATTTAATCATTGATTTTTTAAAAGAGATAGATCTGTTAAATGAATTTTGATATATGTTTTGTAAATAGATAAGGTTTGATAATTGGTAGTGTAGATTGTCAGCTTGGATTGTTAGTGGCTGTACCCTCAAAGGGGGTTGAAGTATTGTAAAATTATTGTCCTCCTGAGAGGGTACGTAAGTCCGAACACATTTACAGTAAATTTAGGCTTGCCACATTTTTAATCATATAATATGTGTGCTTTTAATTTATGGCTAGATTTCTCTTCTGTCGCCAATGGCTGAAGGGATGGTGTAAATCCAACAAGGGTCCATGCAGGTAGCAAAAGTAATGTAAGTCCCCATGGTCCCTAGTATGGTGATCTACCTTCAGTTATTGGCGATTTATAGCCCATTTTTATACTGTATTGGTTTTCCCCTATAGTTAAAACGTTTTAGATTTAATTACTAGTTTTACATACATATCTGTGATATTCTAGTTGTTTTACTGTCCTTCGTCGGCAGGTTTTTTATAATATACATATATTTCATTTCAGTATCAAATGTTCTCGTCACGAGATGGCTGAAATATTGCCAATGTGACGTTAAATATTAACTCACTCACTCACTCCTGTGAGAGGACATACTTCACCATGTCAACATGTCCTCCAATACAGGCCACATGAAGGATGATGTTTCCGTCATCATTCACCAATGATACATCAGCTCCTTCTCTCACAAGTAAGTCACGCACTTCCCTGTGTCCCTTCGCTGCTGCCATCATTACGGGTGTTCTCCCGCACTGACCCCTACTGTTGATGTCTGGAACCTTCTGTGAGAAGACATACTTCACTATGCCAACATGTCCTCCAATACAGGCCATATGGAGGATGTTGTTTCCGTCATCATCCACTAATGATACATCAGCTCCTTCTCTCACAAGTAAGTCAAACACTTCCCTGTGTCCCATATTTGCTGCAATCATCACAGGGGTGCTCCCGTGCCGACCCCTACTGTTGATGTCTGCAACCTTCTGTGAGAGGACATACTTCACCATGTCAACATGTCCTCCAATAAAAGCCACATGAAGGATATTGTTTCCGTCATCATTCACCAATGATACATCAGCTCCTTCTCGCACAAGTAAGTCAAACACTTCCCTGTGTCCCTCTTAATCAAACCGGTCGTAAATTGCTAAATTGGTGTGCTGTATTAGACTTATTTATTATGAATGGTCGATGTGGACTCGACGCTGGCTTGGGTGACTTCACGTTCATAAGCCATTGTGGTAGAAGTGTCATTGACTACGTTATTGCTTCTCCCTCTATCTTCAATGTATGTCAACATTTCAACATCTTCTCTCGATCCGACTGTGATCATCTACCACTAACATGTCAATTTCAGTTACGTGACCAGCCCGTGCAGCACGCTCAGGATAGTGATTCATCAAACAACCGAGATGATTACCGCCATGTATGGGCTGATGATGCTAACACAGAACTTTTCAGAGAAAATCTATTGTCAGATAAAATTATTTCAATGTTTGATGAATGCCTAGATTGCATGTTCGATAATATTATTGGGTCTGTTGATTTATTTACTGATGCTATATGTGAAGCTGGTACATGTATGAAACGTAAATGTGGTGATTCTCAGCCTTGGTATGATTCTGAGTGTAGCTATTATCGCTCTGAGAGAGAGGGGCTGTTGTGTGTTTATAGACGATGTAGACTTGATGATACTCTGAAAGATTATCTAAGGGCAAAAAATATATTTTCTTCTGTTACGAGGGATAAGTAGCGAGCTGACCAAGATAAAATGCCTATAGCTTTGAGAGATAATTTATATAATAGTAAGTCATTTTGGAAGTTATTAAAACGTTTTTCATCCACAATTCCAGTTACCCCCAGTATTTCATTACAGTAGTGGCATGATCATTTTTGCAGTATGTATATGACACCTGGTAGATCATCAGTTAGCGATAGTATGGCCAATAGTTATGAGTCTCAGTTTACTGATAGTAATACCACTGCTATTCTTGACTCGCTAATCTCGGCTGATGAGACTATGGTGGGAATAGATGCATTCAAATGTTCTAAATCAGCGGGGGATGATAAGCCCATTGCTGAATTCTTTAAGCACTCTTCGGATGTTACTATTCCATATCTTACTATTTTATTCAATATGCTTTTTGATAAAGGTATATTCCTAGCTCAGTGGTCTATGGGTATAATAGATCCTGTTCATAAGAAGGGTGATGTCAATAAGATGTCCAATTACAGAGGGATTACAGTTTTCAGTGTCTTTAGTAAACTACATGTGTCAGTTATTAATAATAGGCTCAGGTTTTGAACTGATGCTTATTGCAAGATCTCCGAGTCGCAGGCAGGGTTCAGAGCTGGTTACTCGACTATAGATCTAAGAAAGCGAAATTATATGCTTTTTGTAGACTTTTCAAAGCGTTTGATTTGGTAAATAGGGCAAAATTACGGTCTGTATTAAATGAGAAGGGCGTGTCTACCAAAATGTGGAATTGTGTCCGATCCATCTATGATTGTGTCAAATCTTGTGTTAAATCAAATAATATGTTTTCCGAAATGTTCCAGTGTAATATTGGAGTGCGTCAAGGGTGTGTCTTAAACCCCTTTCTATTTTCTATTTTATAGATGATTTGGCTAGTGAAATTGAGTCATCTTGTTATCCTGGTATACAGATGCATCCAGAACTAACACAACTATTTTTTTCTTGCTGTTCGCTGACGACGTAGTACTCCTCTCCGATACTGTCTGTGGCCTACAAAAGCGTATCAATGTTTTGGAAAAGTATTGTATCGAGTATGACCTTTCCGTTAATCTAGATAAATCCAAAATTGTTGTCTTTAGAAATGGAGGTAATCTCTCTAAAAATGAAACGTGTTTTTTGAGTGGCATGAGAATAGGTTGTGTCCCTTGGTATAAGTATTTGGGTGTTCTTCTTTTTCAAAGATCGTCGTGACATAAACATTTTGATAATTCCATTCTACAATCTAAAAAGGCCTTCTATAGTATTATTAGGTCACTAGCGAAGCTAAAACCTATTCGCGGTGACATTTTCTTCAGGATTTTTTATTCAAAAGTGTTACAAATGTGGTTCCCATCAATTAAATATTGAGACAGGTAGATACACAAATAAGCCCAGACATCACAGGTTATGTAACATGTGCGACAATGGATATGTAGAAAACGAGTATCATTTCCTTTTAGTGTGTACTGCATACAGCTCCTTGCACACTATATATATTCCTGCCACGGTTTACACATACCCTTCCTTGTCAAATTACAATACATTGATGGCCTCAAACAATACCTTTGCCATCAGAAATGTAGCAATGTTTGTTTATTATGCTGTACAGCACCGCCAATCATATATGGCTGGAAACATTTAATATTTGTATTATGGGCCGATGGCCTACATACACTCTGCGAATAAAGAATTTGAATATTTGCTGCCATCATCACAGGTGTTCTTCCGCAGTGACCCCTACTGTTGGTGTCTACAACCTTCTGTAAGAGGACATACTTCACCATGTCAACATATCCTCCAATACCAGCTATATGGATGATGTTGTTACCGTCACCATCCACTAATGATACATCAGCTCCTTCTCTCACAGGTAAGTCAAAAACTTCTCTGTGTCCCTTCGCTGCTGCCATCATTACAGGTGTGCTCCCGTACTGACCCCTACTGTTGATATCTGGAACCTTCTGTGAGAGGACATATTTCACTATGTCAACATGTCCTCCAATACAGGCCACATGAAGGATGTTGTCTCTGTCATCATTCACTAATGATATATTAGCTCCTTCTCTCACAAGTAAGTCAAACACTTCCCTGTGTCCCATATTTGCTGCAATCATCACAGGGGTGCTCCCATACCGATTCCTACTGTTGATATCTGCAACCTTCTGTGAGAGGACATACTTCACTATGTCAACATGTCCTCCAATACAGGTCACATGAAGGATGTTGTCTTTGTCATAATCCACTTATGATACATCAGCTCCTTCTCTTACAAGTAAGTCAAACACTTCTCTGTGTCCCATGTCTGCTGCCACCATTACGAGTGTGCTCCCGTACTGATCCCTACTGAAGGATGTTGTGTCTGTCATCATCCACTAGTCATACATCAGCTCCTTCTCTAACACGTTAGTCAAACACTTCCCTGCCTGTGTCCCATATTTGCCGCCAGCATCACGGGTGTCCTCCCGTACTGACCCCTACTGTTGATGTCTGCAACCTTCTGTGAGAGTTCATACTTCACCATGTCAACATTTCCTCCAATACAGGCATATGGGGGGTGTTGTTTCCGTCATCATCCAATAATGATACATCAGCTCCTTTGCTAACAAGAAAGTCAAACACTGCTCTTTGTCCCTTCGCTGCTGCCATCATCACAGGGGTGTTCCCATACCGATTCCTAATGTTGATGTCTGCAACCTTCTGTGAGAGGACATACTTCACCATGTCAACATGTCCTCCAATACAGGCCATATGGAGGATGTTGTCTCCGTCATCATCCACTAATGATAGATCAGCTCCTTTGCTAACAAGAAAGTCAAACACTGCTCTTTGTCCCTTCGCTGCTGCAATCATCACAGGGGTACTTCTATACCGATTCCTACTGTTGATGTCTGCAACCTTCTGTGAGAGGACATACTTCACCATGTCCACATGTCCTCCAATACAGGCCACATGAAGGTTGTTGTCTCCGTCATCATCCACTAATGATACATCAGCTCCTTTGCTTACAAGTAAGTCAAACACATCTCTGTGTCCCTTCGCTGCTGCCATCATCAAAGGTGTGCTCCCGCACTCACCCCTACTGTTGATGCCTGCAACCTTCTGTGAGAGGACATACTTCACTATGTCATCATGTCCTCCAATACAGGCCATATGGAGGATGTTGTCTCCGTCATCATCCAATAATGATAGATCAGCTCCTTTGCTAACAAGAAAGTCAAACACTTCTCTGTGTCATATTTGCTGTCCTTTACAGGCCATATGGAGGATGCGTCATCATCCACTAATGATAGATCAGCTCCTTTGCCATCATTAAAGGTGTCTCCCGCACTCACCCCCTACTGTTGATGCCTGCAACTGAGAGGACTTCCCTACTGTTGATGCCTGCAACCTTCTGTGAGAGGACATACTTCACTGTTGATGTCCACATGTCCTTCAATACAGGCCATATGGAGGATGTTGTCTCCGTCATCATCCAATAATGATAGATCAGCTCCTTTGCTAACAAGTCAAACACTTCTCTAATATTTGCTGTCATTAAAAACACTTCTCTGATGTGCCCTTCTGTGAGAGGACATACTTCACCATGTCCACATGTCCTTCAATACAGGCCATATGGAGGATGTTGTCTCTGTCATCATCCACTAATGATACATCAGCTCCTTTGCTTACAAGTAAGTCAAACACTTCTCTGTGTCCCTTCGCTGCTGAGGTGTGCTCCCGCACTCACCCCTACTGTTGATGTCTGCAACCTTCTGTGAGAGGACGTACTTCACCATGTCCTTATCTCCTCCAATACAGGCCAGGTGAAGGATGTTGTTTTTGTTATCGGCTAGAAGATACATTGTAGCTCCTTTTTTCACAAGTACGTCAACAAGTCTTCTGTGTCCGAATAATGCTGCTATCATCACGGGTGTTAGTCCATCCTTGTCTCTGTGGTTGACGTCTTCCAGATTCTCAGATAAGATGCGTCTAAGCCGACCTAGGTCGCCCTCTTTGCAGGCAGCATGGATGTCTTTATCCACTCGTGGTCGTTTCGTCGTCACTGTAACACAATAATGTCAATGTCACAACAGGGAGGAACAGGAACTACCTTAACAAATACCAATTTTAAATTAACTCACTTCGGTTGAACCCAATCCTATCCTGTCAATTTGCACACATGCGTGTGTGTGCTAGAAGATTTTCTGGAACTGAATGGAAACATCTGGTATTTGCACTGGTATTTTCTAACTTTTTCAGAACTTTAGACGCTATACCGCCTTCATACCTAAACTGAGGAAGTTCTTGTATTGTCTCGAGCACACATTGCGCGTGGAGGTATGCGTTTTATAAGTCTGCTATAATCATTATGTTTTCAAATCACTTATAACTTACAACTCTCCTTCCATACTATGTACTCCCCACTAAAACACCCTAGAACCTACACATTGTACTGTCATTCATCACGTTACACTATCAGTTGTAACCTTATTGTCCAGAATGTTCTCAGATTACATTCACGAATCAACAATATAACCTGCCGCAATCACAAATAATACCACTACATAACCATAACTCTGTTTCACACATTCAGAGTGTCTAGCTTACATCCATTCGAACCTCACCAATGCTGCCGACCAAATCAATTAACATATTTCCCATCTGTTAGCAATACCTCCTGTTCGGTACAGCTAACAAAGTGGCCGTATGGGTGTGAAGGCAGGGTGGGTCTGTTCTGTGATGTGTTATATATAATTGTCACTGCTGTTTTACCTTTGACGTCCAGTTGAATATATTTTGTTAGATAATGGAGACTTGTGAATCTCTGCTGTCCCACATTACGTTCAGCGATGCAGTGTTGGAAACTAGTTTATATATACAACACCCTGTTTCATCACATTTCCTGAGACTTGAACAGTTTAAGCTAAAGCACCAAACCAACATATGCAGAAAGCGAGTCACGGATTTAATTTTGAATAAGGTTTGCAGATGTTATTGTTTAGGGATTGCTGGACAATCAGGTCTACTGGTCACACTGTCCGCCCTCCTGTAGATTAACCGTTGGCGTGTAACAATTGTTTCAGTGTTCTGTCTGACGCAAAAGACACTCACTATTCTGGATGCTTTGGTGAGCAGTCTGCTGAGTTGGAAACTTGTAGGGCCTTGATATGATATGATGACGAGGATGGGTGATGGGGCTGGTTTGGGAACGGGATCTTGGTTTCTGGAGCACAGCCCAGCACCTTGCCAAAGTTATGGCACCATAAGGAAAAGGACGAAAACCCTACATCAGCGATTCCAGTACCTTTGAACCCACACATGCAAACCCCAAGGGATGTGTGCATGAAATGACATGCTACTGTGGAGAGAAAACGACGGGAAAGACTGGCCACATAGCCCCCACAAATGAGAACACAAGACCTCTGTTGAAAACATAAAATGTGCTCTTCCAGAATATCTCTAAGATCCTGACAACCATATTTCCTGGCAACAAACCAAGATTCTCCATATCAATCAGTGGATAGAGATAAAACATCAAGAAAGCATCGAAATCCAAAGACAGAAGCCAGACATTAACCGATGCAACTACCTTCCCAACGTGAACTCCACTTTGCTATATTCACTATGCTATACCCATTCTGTCCCAGTGAATTGGTCATCCAAAGTCCCACTGCCCTCAATGAAACGTTAGTAGTTATTGCCACTCACAAGGCCTCAAATAGCATAACCATTATATCTAAACACTATTACATAAATTGTGTGGTCAAAGAGTTTGGTATACGTGACATATCAAGTAATGGCACCTATAATACCAGTATGTTGACGGAGGAAGAAATCTGTCTAAACCATTCAGCGGTGTTATAGGCACCCGTGAAGAGCCACCTCCTCGTGGTGGGTGCTGGGTAACGCTAAGCGCTCTTCAACCCCCCGTTGTGGACCCGGGGGTATATTAGGTCCACCAACCTGTTTGTCGGTGGAGGACGGGAGTCTGGTGGTTGAGGGCACTGGTTCCAGGAACAGCGTTCCTTTGCCCAACACACCACTTCGCTCCTTACTTCACCTAGACGAGTGGTAGAACTGGCCCGGTTCTATCAATCGGCTGGTCATGCCAAGCCCTGTGTATTATTGTGTTGCACACAATACTTCAACTTTTATAATGAGTTATCAAAAGTCTCCTTCGAATTTCAATTATATATTTCCTAATTTTGTAATTTGCCTAGAGTGCTATACCCAGAAGGCGGTGGCTCATGGGCCAATCGGGTAGACTGATTACTATTTTAAATTTTCTGCTGGAGTATATCATCCGGGTACTTCTGGTGCTGCAAGTCCACTTGTTATGAGCAGTGTCTTTATGATACTCCGTGGTGGGATGGGAGCTCGGATGATGAACTATTATAAAAACAACCATGGTATACCAACCCCCCTCAAAAAACCCACAAAAACGTCCACTGGACACTGATGATAAACAACCTTCAAACTCTATCGATTACTGGCCACGATTCTTGGTGTTGGAGACTCCTGATAAATCGCCTCTGAATCCATTTGCAATATCAAAGGGCATACATGGCATTGCAGGAGGTGTAAAAATTTTAAACGCTTACGTTCAGGTGCACTACTAATTGAATGTTACAGAATGCAACAAACGTCAAACCTCATGTCCACTGACTCATTTGTGGGCATCCCTGTTTCAGTTAATGCTCACAGAACTCGTAATACTAGCAAAAGCATCGTCAGAGACAGGGAACGCCTTTTGACTGATATGGCAGAACTAGACATTGTGTCTGAAATGAGAAATCAAGGCGTTACATATGCCAAAAGGTTCACCACCCGGAAAAATAATGAGATCATTCAAACGAACACTTATCGTATTTCATTCTACTCTCCGAATCCCCCACGGTCAATCAAGGCAGGATAATATTGCAGTTGACATCTATATTCCGAATCCGTTAAGGTGTTCCCTAAGATGTCAGAAATATGGTCATGGTGCAAACACTTGTACAAACCAATCACATGTGGTCATTGTAGTGAGACATCTCATATCACGGAGGACTGTGACAGTGGCATTAAAAAGTGTACTAACTGTTCGGGTAACCATTCTTCCTTTTCAAAGGACTGTAAAGTGTGGAAAAAAACAAATGGACATTAACCGAATTAAATACACACAAAACATTAGCTTTGCTGATGCAAAAAAACCTGGTTGAATCTGCAGTGCCCAATGAGACATCCTCTGAAATCATTTCAAAGGTACATACTGGCCCAGTATCCACATTGCCAGTAAACTGCCAAACAGACTTAACTTGGGTAAAAACTACAAAGCCTCAAATTGTCACACCCGAACGTTCTACTCAGACTCCAGAATCATGTTTAAACAGCCAGATACTCCCTAAAGCACCAACACGACCAACAGTCAGAATTCATCGTCATCTGAATCCAATACTGAAACTAGATCTGAAACAAATTCCGACAGAATTGGGAAACAAAATGTGAAACAGAGAAAAGACTTTCCAAAGACTTTCCAAAGGTTCAGAAAATCGAATTCAGTTGTTTAATCGATATGGTTCACTTGAGGATATGGATGTGTCAGAAAACATCCATCGACGGGCACATAGCTTGTCGCCCTCGAAGACATTGTGAAGACATTGATAGATCCCCTATCAATCCACCTAAAAGATTATTCTACTAATATCGTACAGTGAGTGAGTGAGTTAATATTTATCGTCACATCGGCAATATTTCAGCCATATCGTGACGAGAACAGTTTATAATTATATTATAGATCAATAAAGTAGGACATTAAAAAAACCTGTTGACGAAGAACAGTAAAACTACTAGTGTATCACAGATATCCATTTAAAACTATAAATATAAAATATTGGAACTATAAATGACAACTGAAGGTAGATCGTCACACTAGGGACCATGGGGACTTACAGTACATTTGCTGCCTGCATGGACCCTAGCTGGATTTACATCATCCCCTCAGCTGTTAGCAATTGAGATATATCTAGCCATACATTAAAATTACACATATTCTACGATTAAAAAACGGAAAGTTGAAATTTAATTTAATTTCCTCTCAGGAGGACAATAATTTTACAGTACTTTAACCCCCCTCAATATCGTACAGTGGAACTGTAGAGGACTAAAAAACTAATTTTAATGAAAACAGTTGTTGGTCCAAGATTTAAGACCATCAGCGTTTTGTCTGCAGGAGACGTATCTGAAACAGACAGACTGTTTTGACTTACGTCAGTTTACAGCCTATCATTGTTTTTCTCCTCCGGGCGATAGGGCCACTGGAGGATCTACTATCCTTATACGACAGGATGTTATTCACAGCCTTGTTACACTCAACACTAATCAGGCTGTTGCAGCGCGACTTACTCTGGGTGTAGCATTTACATAGTGCTCTCTGTATGTTCTGCCTTCATCGGCACTTCAGCAGACTGATCTTCAATCACTCTATGATCAACTCCCGAAGCCCTGTGTTATTATGGGTGACCTAAACGGTCACAACCCAC